CATGCTGAAGTCTATTAATTGATTAAGTTATCAAGATCTTACCAATATGTTAACATAATAGTTTAATGTCTGGAAAACAATGTTTGTTTAATCACGAAGTCCGTGCTTTAATGTAAGTACCTCAAGCCTTACTGTTTATTGAATACTATCCCTTATAGGCACTGATTTATTTATTCCTACTGCTCGCCCTTTTCAAGGCTTTGGCAGGAGTGGTACTACATAAAGTCAAATATACAATGCTCGGTTACATAATATCAACAGCGTTGGCAGTGCCCCACAGCACTGCAGCACTAAATACAAGCATCAATTCACACCAAAAGAAACACAAGCGTGCAAGAGATAAACGTGAAAATACAGTTATTTCAAAGTTAGAACACGATCGGAATCACACATATGAAGGGACAGCAAGGCAAACGTGCAACAAGGTTTTGACAGAATCATATCTACTAGGCTTGCGACAAAAACCGTGACAACGAACCCCATCGACCACGTTGGTCAGCAATGACTCGAAAAAAAAAAAGAAACCGACAAAGAAAGCACAGAGCAAGGTTCAAAACAAGATTGTCTATTCAATTTGTGATAGAAAATTTGATAAAGAAACACTCTCGACCACGTCAGCTGGCAAGGAATTCCACTCGCGGATAGTGCGTGGAAAAAACGAATGAAGAAATGCATTGTTTTTAGCAGGAAATTCTTTGATTGACAGTCGATGTGATCTCCTTGTGGCCCGTGGTTGGAAGAAGGAAATATAATTGCTTTTGTTGATTTTTAGGCTGTCGTTCACAATAAGGTACAAAAATTTTAACCTGTCCCTCCGGCGTCTTGGTTCCAGGCATTCAAGGTTAGCATCTGCTAAGAGCTGGCTTGGTGATACTGACCAACTGTAGGAGTTGTAAATAAATATAATGGCCTTTCTTTGTATTTTCTCCAGCTTCGTTATGTTTACCTCCGTGTGTGGATCCCATACCACGGCTGCGTATTCAAGAATAGGCCGTACGTAAGTTTTGTAGGCAATCAATTTTGCTGATATGCTAGAGTGACCCAGGGACCGTCTTAGATAGCCTAGCTTTTGGTACGCGCGATTTACAATGTAGTCGATGTGGCTGTTCCACCGCAGATCGGATGATATGACGACTCCCAAATATTTAAAAGATTCCACTCTTTGCAAAGGTGCGCCATCTATCTTGTAGGGAAATTGTGAAATGTTTTTCTTTTTTCGCGCGATGGTCATACATACGGACTTTGTTGCATTGAGTGTCATCTGCCACGTTTTGCACCACTGATTAATTTTTTCCAGGGAATTTTCAATAAGGAGATGATCTTCAGGACTACTAACTTCTTTATAAAGGATGCAGTCGTCTGCAAAGAGATTAATCTGGACTGGAATGTCGTTTAAGACATCATTATAAATACGAGAAACATTAGGAGCCCGAGAACAGACCCCTGCGGTACCCCAGAGTCAACAGAAACGGAATCGGAGAATGTACCATCAATTACAACAGTTTGGCGACGGGACGATAGATAGTCGCTAATCCAGTTCGTTATCGTGTCGTTTCTTAAAATTGATTTTAGTTTTATTAATAGCTTCGGGTGCGAAACTTTATCGAAGGCTTTCGAAAAATCTAGGAGAACTACGTCCACTTGACCACGCCGGTTTAAAACTTCTGAAAAATAGTGTGTAGTTTCCACCAACTGTGTAGAAGTAGAGGGGGCTCTGCGGAAGCCATGTTGCCTGGGATGAAGCAAGTTATTTGATTCTAAAAAAGAAAAAAATGTGAGCTGATATTATGTGTTCCAGTACTTTTCCTGTGGTGCATAGCAAAGAAATAGGGCGGTAATTCGTCACCAGCTGTCTGTCTATGGCCTTAAAAATGGGAATAACTTTGGTGTGTTTCCACTCAGTCGGTACTCTGGCTTCTATAAGAGAATTACGAAATAATATTGCAAGATACTTAGCACACCACTCCGCGTAACGGCGCAGAAAAGCGTTTGGAATGTTATCTATACCGGTAGATTTTTTATCACCAAGATTAAGCAGCAAGGAAAAAATTCCTTCTTCAGAGAATGACAAGTCATCTAATAGCGGGGTGTTTACCGGCAAGTCATAGTTTGGGCATGTGTTGTTATCTATTGTGAAAGTTGATTTAAAAAAGTCGTTGAAACAGTCTGCCATAGTTGCGTTGTCGCTAATCTGTTTCCCGTTTACTTTAAGGTTTGTGATTCCCTGCTTACGTGGCGAAAGATATCTCCAAAACTTGTCAGGAAAGGACAGCATAAAGTTGGGGGATCAAAACATAATTACGAAGCTATCAACATGATAATGACAAAACAACTTCTATCGGGTCGTCTCAGGAGCAGTAGACGTTTGGATCGTTAACGTAAACGAAAGGAGGGCGAGAAAGGGCGACAGTGTCGTCGGTGCGGACATGTTGAGAACTATGCGGCAGCGGCGGCGTGCGTTTACTTGTCTGTTTGTGCGTGGAAGCATTTATGTGGGAAAACGCAGCGGCCTGCACCTGTTCGGCCTCCTTAAGGATGTGCGTCTTCCGGGAACAGAGGCAGGTCCCGCAATTTAACGGGTGGCCGTTTTAGGTGTCATTACACTCATGACGGTGATTTTCCTCTGCTGCGGTGAAGTTCGATTCTCCGCGATTTCGTCTTAATATCTGCCGAAGGACTATCTGTTTGATTCCTTGCCTATGTGTTCGGGTCAGGGTTGGGCAGTATCGCGATACAAATGTATCGCGATAGTATTTCAGAAATACATTTCGTATCTGTATTTCTGTATCGCGATACATTTTTTTCACCAGTATCTGTATTCCTGTATCGAAATACATTTGGAATGTTTTTTGTATCGCAATACAATCAGGATGAAATGTATCTCGTTACATTTCTTGAAAAATACTGCCCCCCCCCCCCCCCCCCCGAAAAAAAAAAAGAAACAAGTCGGAACGGATTTTTTTTTTTTTTTTTTACTTCTGAGGTTACCAGAGTCAAGGAGATGCTGGGGCATTGTTACTGTGCTGACCAAGGTTCTTTTTTATTCTGCAAACTATTTTTCTATGTGTCCTCTTCTCTCTTCTGAGAAGCGTTGCGTAGTCGCGGGGACTCGAACCAGGTGGCGTGCCAGGAGTGGAGTCGGAGCATCTTCTGCCGCAGGTCCTTAGGTAGGGATTTCTTGAGCCATTGTTTGCTGGCATCCAATGCCCACTGATAACCGTCTCTCAATCTTAGCGTACAAAGTACACCCAGCCGGCAAAGCTCAGTCACTATCCGTTGCAGCACGAGCCTGGCGGTGGTTGACTTGAAATAGTAGGAAGACTCACGCTGTGAAGTTCAACACATATTCGAATGCATCTGCGGCTGCGCCCGTAACATTGCACGGCTCAAGGGTACGTCACCAGCCGACGTGAACATGATCCGCTGCTCTGGTGATCTGAAACCCAGAAGGAGGCCAGAAGTGGCCTCGCTGTGCCATCCCAGACTACGTACTCCCGCGACTCGTCTCGAGAGCGCTGTTTCTCGGACAGCTCGCACCTGTGCCGGCAATATCAGCTCGCAATCCACGAGGTCTCTGTCTGGATAATGCTAGGCAAAACTTGAGGACTGCAGTCCGTGCGTCGGTGGCGGAGGGTCGTTAGTAAGGACCTTCAGAACAGGGATGCTACTTTATCGTTTTTTAGACCGTAACAGAAGAGAAGACATGTATTCCAGGATGCTTCAGGTGGTCTACTATTCTCAAAAATACCAAATGACACTGCATGCACGATCTTTAACTAGGTAACCTACAACGAAAGTACTTATTGTCCTTTCATACAGCAGCGTGGTAAAGTTTCATGTTCAAGGCCACATCTATAGATAAAGAATACTAGTTCATTCCACCGTGACATCATGTGATCAATGTTGACAGGATTCCATTGTCAGACAGACAGGATGTCATGGAAGGGACCGTGGTCAGCCCTTGATGGAACGTTTCTTTGGGCCCATTGAAGACTCCTTGTCGTCCGAAACCACTACCTTCAAGGCAAAATGCCATGCCTACAGGAAAGTAATTTCGGAATTGAAAACATCCACTTCAAACTTCAAGCTTTATCTCAGTTGGCGTCTCAAAAAATTTGGAAAATGTATTGCACTATCAGTATTTCTGTATTTGTATTTCTGCCCTCCTTAAAATGTATTCTTGTATTTGTATTTCCAAATACTTTTTGCCTCTTTTTAAAATGGATTTCCGATACGTATCGCAATACATTTTTACAGATGTATCTCAGTATCAGTATTTCAGCTACTATTTCAATGTATCCCAGTATTTGTATTTCCAAATACATTTTTGAGTATTTCTGCCCAACCCTGGTTCGGGTAAACGTAAGGTTGCGATAGCCTACAGTTCTTTGCAATGTAATATGCGCAATAGACGCTCCACTTTTTAGCACAATTCTACCTTCGATGACGCTTCGGCGCGGTCGGAGCCGAAGCAAAACGGAAAGTAACGAACCGGAGGAAGGGTGTCTCCGGGAGATCCTAGGTTAAAACAAGCTATTAGCACTTTGAAATGAGGGTTTGCGTGAGCGCTTGTTCACTCCACAATAATCTGTAAGTGTTTTTGATATACCTGTATTTTCAGGACTGTGTTTTTTTCTTTTTTGTTTTTGTCCCGGATGTGGTGTGTGTGTATATATGTGCTTGTGCGTTTTTTTTTCCCCTTAACTACACGCCATCAGTTTAAATTACGCACCCGTCGGGTAAGCTTCTCGACGCGCTTCCGTTGCAACTCAAAAGCGCGTCGTTTTTCTTCTTTTTTTTTAAATATTTGCTTAAATATGGGATACACATATTCCTTCCGACTTTCCAGTTACCGAAGTGAGTAGGATTTTAATCAAAATCTCTTCAGATTGTGTAGTCAGAAGGCTGTTCCCAGCGAACAATCTGTTAAATCTTGGCGGTTGTTAGGTATGGTCAAGGGTGTGTGCCACAGCGCCTTACTAGTTCCCCCACCCGCGCAGCCCCTGCCCTGTTCCAACACCATCTGCCAAGGGTCCCTGATGTGCGGCCCGGTGAGGAGGAATGGAAAAGAGCCCCGTCCCACGGACGATGTCCTGCAGCACGCCAAGGAGTTTCTGGACCAGTTTTACACAAGTATCAAGCGGTACTGATCGAGTACTGCACACTGACGACGACGAAATTCAGCGACAAATATTTTGTCTTTCATAGTCCTCTAAAGTTGATGAGCTGTGATGAGTACAAAAAGATGCGAGATATTTATGTGAAAGTTTTAATGTGTACTATTGCTCGTAATAGAGTTGAAGTTCCTGGCACAGAAAGTGAGATATCGATTGCACACACAAACATCACTGGCCTCTGGGATTTTAAGGAAGGGAAAAAAATATCCCTCCAACGTGGCCACCAAACAAATCTTTCACGGGAAGCGAACGATTCTTAAGGCACTGTCGGAAGTTAGTATGTTAGTCTAGTTGAAGTCCTGTGTATTTCAAGTGATAATTCAATGCACTTGGACATAGGTTAGGCTTATTGGCGACTTGAAGTTTTCAGGTCTAGAAAAGATCTTTTACTGAAACGTTGTTTGCTATGTTGAGAAGTTCAGGGTGTTCTTTTTCAATTACCGTGGACTGCCTGATTTGGGTCAGCGTTGTAGAGGAATAAGATGGTAGCTGCTGATTGGGTATTTCAGCATCTGGCAGCGTTCAAACGAGTGTACGCCGCTACGATGGTTTTTCAAACCTAAATTGGAGGAATGATGTTTCAGCTGATAATACCTAGGTCTTCAGTGCGAGCTTTTTCCCCTTGTGCTTCTGAGTTACAGCTTACCTGTACATCTCTGTACCATTAGAATATGTAACATAATAAAAAAATTGCGAAAACAAAAAACCTTAAGAAGGGGTTTTGTCAACGATGGAACAGGAATGGCATCCTTTTTTTAATTCCTAAAGACTCGTCTGTCAGTCCGCATGACTGATAGGTTCGCATTTTTATTGCCGCGATGAGACACTGAACATCATAACAAGAATGGCATCCTTTTTTTAATTCCTAAAGACTCGTCTCTCAGTCCGCATGACTGATAGGTTCGCATTTTTATTGCCGTGATGAGACACTGAACATCAGGCAGAAAGTTTGTCCAAAAAGGCTGGCTAGTAAGCACTCAAGTGGATATACAGGCCTAAAAAATTATGCGAAGCGGGGTTTGAAGTGGCTTTGCCTCACCAGACTCAAGAGATGGTTCGGTACTAAACTTCGTCTCACCCTACGATGTACTAAAGGCAAAAGCTACAGACCGCCAGATCCAATCACGAGCCACTTAGAAATTGCGTATTGCCTTTTGATGCACGTATCAGTGCCCGCGTCTGAAATCACTGATGGGGATGGGCGGACAGTGGTCTGAATCAAAATAGCACTGAGTGATTCAACAATTTTACATTGCAAAAAAGAGGCTGTTTGCAGTGTCGAAGCTATAGAAATGATGCAGCGTTTTTGGGTTCGGAGCATTATTCGTCCACCCCTAATCAATGCTAGGCATGTCATAGCGTAGCGTGGAACGTGAATGGACCTGACGTCCCGTGGCTTTGGCCTTTAGTCCATCGTACGATGAGACAAAGTATACACTCTTAGAAATAGGGGGTGTATAGGAGTACACCCCTTGTCCCATATGTAACACCCCAAAACTACATTGGGACGTTCAGTCCACTGGCGTCGAATTGGCGATGCCAAGTTTTACGAGCGTCTTGATATCTGTTGGATATAACATACTAAATAGTTAATGTGCGTATCATAGAATAGAAAAAAAAAGACTGAGATTTTGCAGCAGGGCCAGAAAAACCTTGATTGTGTTGCTGTGGCCTTTGATGCGTACATTAGCTACTTTAACAAGTTGCATCGGTCGACTATCAAGCGGCTCTTGAAAATTGGTATCGTTGGTTCGACCTCTGTGGACTGAACGTCGAACTGTTGTTTTGGGGTGTTACATAAGGGACAAGGGACCCCAATACACCCCCCTAGAGTGTAGCTTATGTCTTTTACTCCATTTCAGAATTTGGCTACCGTGTTATTGTAAGCAAATGAGGTCAAGCTCGAGCTCTACCTGACGCGTTGTTTGCGTAACCGCTAGTGCAAGAAAAGCACAATCACTATTAAAAGTCACGTATCCGCTACAGGGGCCAGAGGTTAGCTTCGTAAAATATTTTGGTTGGACGACCGTACGCATTTGTATAGCACCTTTAAAAGTAGCCCGATCGCACTCATGCCTTTGCCAGCACTGCAGACAACTCGTGAGATGGAGTTTGACATTACCTGCTTTATCGCCCTGTCGATCCTCAAATATAGATACATTTTGTCCACGTAGAAGCCGCCATCACTACTGAAAACGAATGGCATGGACAACTCTTTTTCCATCATATTTATCAAGATGTCTTTATAGTTTTTGTTACCAATGAATGGTGGCAGGGTTTACAATATGGTGACTTGCAGTGACGGTGATATCATACCTGACAAATAGTTTAGTAAAAAATTAGTGTAATAATCTTTCGCATTAATAGCTACTTTTCATGTCACTCCGAACGTTTTGAATAACTAATTTATTGAACGCACTCCATACTCTTATAAAAATGCCTGGGTGTCTACTTACCTGAAAAACACTCAAAGAGCCAATCTCTGCGATCTACCAAATCAGCTCAGCGAATATGAGGTGGAACATCTGTTTAAACCTCAAAACTTAGTCTGCCCTATGGCATTACGCAATGCATGCATGACGCTTTGCATTGCGCAATGCCACAGCGCGGACCTCATTTTAAGGTCTAAGCGGATGTTCCGCCTCATCATTCGCTGAGCTGATTTGGTAGATCGCAGAGATTGGATCTTTGAGTGTTTTTGAGGTAAGTAGACGCGCTGAACATTTCTTAGAGTGTAACACTTCCCTGACACCTTAGAGTATCATAGTTGTAGTAGATGTTTGAGGGTTGTTGAATATCTGTATTCACTGCAGGTTTCATTCGAAAGCTCACGAAAAACGGTGGTCTGAGGTGGAGCGTCAGGTTCAGCAGCGGGGTACCTACGACCTCACGGAGACGGAACTCGTCTTCGGAGCCAAGCTCGCCTGGCGGAATTCGGCACGTTGCATCGGCAGGATACAATGGTCCAAACTGCAGGTAGGGCGCGTTCTGGACAGACGTAACCTTCCCTGTTCTTGCTGCTTCTGAAGAGTTTACGTGATTTCTGTCGCAAAATCCTGTTATCCGCGTTTACTGAAAATATACTGTCTGTGTTAGAAGAGTATGTTTGCTCACGGGCCGCGACCAAAGACAATATATTTTTCTGACACCACGTATACAGTTTATTCACTAACATAATTCTGGTCACCCTCTGGTGGGGCATGTCTTTCGTTTACGCAATTAGCGACCTTCGGCCGCACGCGCTTTGAAAAGCTCGACATCAGTCTGGTGACCGCATAAGCGCTCGCCAGATTGGTGAAATGATTACTCGTCAATGCAGGCTTTCGAGATCTTAACGAGACAGTGTTTTTATTCGAGCCATTTGTGAAGACGCTTTTGAATGTTTCAGGAATGCCACTAATCATTTGCACAATTCCCAAGCGTCACGGAATATGTTGTAGTTACACGTCCGACACGCGCTTCACTTGTCTGCAGGACAATTTAAGCGTAAATGACTAAACTAATGGTATGACAAATTGCGGCAAAAGGAACAATTAATTGTAAAGTATAGCCTGAAGAAGAAAAAAAATACCGTTGCAGACAATACGCTGCAGTGTGTATATTTGAAGCCCAAGATGTTGCTTACTGCTTCGGAATATTTAAAAATGGCCTCTTGATTCGTAACTACAACGCTCACTACAAACAACCAAGAAAAAGACCCTGTCTAAAAAAAAAGAACAAGGAAAAAGTCAGAATCATAAATGTTCGCTTCGTGACGAATACACATAACGTTAACCTCATCTAACGTTTGTCTTCATAAACGTACACGCACTTCAAGTCACTCTTTTCTGTTGCCTTCCCGTTACCCATACACTCCGCGCGTAATCGCCGACAACACACCTCCGTCTCTCGGCAGGTGTTCGACGCACGCCACTGCTACACGGCGAGGGACATGTACGAAGCAATCTGCGCACACCTCAAGTACAGCACAAACAAGGGCAACATTAGGTGAGTTACCGTCCAGGCCATCTAAGCCAATTGCCGGGGACAGCTACAGATCCTCCCCCCACACAGAGTAACTCGGTCGGTGCGGGAATGGCCCTGGTCGATGAAGCAGCATCACCATCAGCTGCAGTACTGCCAGAGCGATGGTGAAGAACCTTCTTACCCCAACCATTTCCTTCTTTGGTTCTCCCTGGCGGGCACTCAGGTCGGCAATCACAATATTCCCTCCACGGACGGACGGCCACCACGACTACAGGGTGTGGAACGCGCAGCTCATCCAGTTCGCCGGCCACAAGCAGCCCGACGGCTCGGTCGTCGGGGACCCCGCATCGGTCGAGCTCACAGAGGTGCGCCGTCAGCCGCGAGTTTTCCGGATGGCGCTCGTAGTTTCTCGTCTAGTTTTCCCGCCGGGAATGCTCGCGGACCCCTGGAACAGCGCTGATATAATATAGCACACGTAGCATTTCTTTTTTTCCGACGTTACTGTTGCGCCGTGTTGAAAAGGGCAAGGCCATAATATGAGTTGTACGGGAAGAACGTCGTAAGATTTCCATTTAGTTGTATCGTGAAGTTAGGAGAGGTTATAGGCATGTCCGGCGTTCCTACTATTTTCTACAAAGTTCATACGGTCTTGTTTTGGTCGTCTGAGTTAGTTACTGTTTCTAGTTTGTTGGATTGAATTTCCCTACCATTATAGAAATCTCTATGGGCGCTTGAAGAGCGTAATAAGTGCAATCAAAGAAAACTCTGTTGGCATTGCGGAACAAACAAAAGAGAGGTGAAGGCATTTCTAGTTCCACGACGTGGGGGCCGCCAGATTGTCGTTTGAAACTTTGTATGTGACAACATTCAGGATCAGGCATTTACATAAACGCTTAAATGACTCATTATTCATGTAGCACGCAAATCAAAAGTTACCTGCGTAATTCAGTGTGGATTGAACACTTTCAAACTCAGTACAATTTGTATAGTATTTTAAAAACGAAACGCCGTATGTGCACCGTTTGCAGTTGAATTAGGAGACAGCTGTATGGGCTCATGACTCCTTTCATCAATTTACGCCAATATTTATTTAGGGGGATTGCTTTTAATAGTTATTTGTTTCTTACGAACCATGTTTTTGTGGGTGTGTATAATTTCCTTCGCAGATATGCAAAAAGCTTGGATGGAAACCAAAAGGCACGAGATTTGAGGCTCTTCCTCTGGTACTCTCGGCTAATGGCGAAGATCCGGAATGGTTCGAAATCCCGGAAGACCTCATCATGCGAGTAAAAATCACGCATCCCAAGTAAGATTTATTGGTCTATATGGTTACGCTAGAATAAGCATACTAAGTGTAATGAGTTATAACAAAATTCGTCCAAGTGTCGTTTGTACTGTTTTCGAGCTACGAAAAAAAGCCTCTTGGTCGCAATTTTAGTTTTTTTAAAAACGTTTTTTTGGTGCCCTAAGTTGTTGCACAATCAATACTTCATGAATCAACTACGTACCTTTTCAAGACAGTATTGAAAAGAACAATGTTTTTTCTTGAGACTAATCAGCCCCAATATTTACATCCCACTTGATTTCTCAAGGACTGATATTGTAAACAAAACCTGAACTTCCAATTTCCCAGGGTTCAACAACGTCCATTTTTAACAACATGGCATCATGACCGGGGCAAAATGACTTTCAATTTCATGTACGAAGCATGAGATGTTGATAAAATGCCATTGAAGGCCAGAAGAATTTAAGGTTTAAAAATCGAAATGATCGAATTTTCTACACGGTGCCGACAAAAATACTAGCATTGAATGTGCGACCAACTTCGCGCGGGCAAACTTCACTCGTCCTTTCTAAGCCTAAAAAAAACAACATTTTATGCGGTGCGAGCGAGTTCATGCCAAAAGCACGCGTGTGACGTTGCACAGCCATAATCAGCAGTTATATCATGCACTCGTGCAGCAAATCACATAAACTTAATGCATTTGACTATTTAAATTTTATAATGCTCATCCCGTACGCAGTTTCATTTATCCAGAACTGCATAATGTAAATCGTCATGTAGGACTGAAATGGAAAAACATTTCGCTCTTGTCTTTTCTTCGACTGTGAAGCAAAATCTGCATGGCACTGCAGTCGTATTCATGGAGTGTTTTTGCGATCATGCAGAGTTTACCAGCACAAGTACTCTTCACTGCACTTAGATTTACTGATAGTGTAAATAATCATAACGTTTCGAAAACACCCAATTTCCGATAAGTACCTTCCTGGAACGCACGATGCGTATCCTCGTGTTCCTAGGTACGAAAGCGTCGGCGAGATGGGGCTGGAGTGGTACGCCGTGCCTGCCGTCTCCGGCATGATGCTGGACCTCGGTGGGGTTGAGTTCACAGCGTGCCCGTTCAACGGCTGGTACATGGTCACGGAGATCGCCGTGAGAGACTTCTGCGACGTCCAGAGGTTCAACCTGGCTGAGGTAGAACCTCTTCATATATTACAATATCGCCAACTTCGAAAAACTCTTCCCAGCCGTTCCCAACGTACGCAGCCAACATTCACATAGCTCTGCATAGTTTCAACTTGTAACTGAACAGATTATACTATAAACCCTTTTAGGTCATGGTACGATGAGTATACCGTGTTTTCAAAGTCACGTTCTCTTTTCTCTTGGTAAAAAGCAATTGAGTACTTATGTAAAACTAAATGTGCACTTAAAGATATAATTTTAGCATACTTTCAATATGTCAAGAATCCTTTTAATATACTTCTAATCTACTTGGTATTTTAGTCGCATGGTCCGCGCATCGATAATCTGCTCTGTGGCACTGAGCTCAGTGCCATAGCGCAGATTTTTTGCTTAGGTTGAAACATATTTTCCATCTCGCAATCTGTAGATTGTGGCGAATGGCTCTTAAAATTGCTCTGCGGGAGAAGACTGCATAAGGTTTCTGCTGTTGCAAGTAGCGCAACTAATTACTACTTAAAAAGACATAGATCAACCATGACACCTACATATTTTAAGACGAGCTGACAAACTTTCCTTCAGACGCGAATAAATCGCTCCTTTTATACGAATCCACGGCATTCAGCAGGAAACTGATATTTGATGCATGCTTCTTTTGTGTTTGCAGGAAGTAGCCAGTCGCATCGGCTTGGACACGAAGACCAACTCAAATTTGTGGCGAGACCGAGCTGTAATCGAGCTCACATTGGCCGTCCTCTACAGCTTCCAGGTAAGCAGAACCCGCACTTATAGCACCATGTTATAGAAAAGTACAAGGGACACCTAAACAAGATGATGGTAGACCCTGAAGCAGGGGTGGAAAAGAATAAAAACAGTAAGAGAGCCAGGTAAACAGGAGACGACAACGCCTCGAAGGGGACAGACAGCGTAACCTTGATACGCTGTGTCCCCCATGTTTTTTTTCTGTCTCTTAACGTTCTTACGATTTTCCACACCCGTCTAGGGGTTTACCTTATGTTCAATGTACACCAGCGTGTCTACTATACATTCAGCATTTTGTTTTCGACATTTAAAAAATCACTGTAGGAAAACAGAATTTGCTGATGCTAGTTTTCACACAGTGAACAAGTTCGTATAAGTTTAATGACTTCACCGCCATTGTTTTATAAAATTACCATATAAAACTTACGTTTTGTAACCCCCAAATTACCCATGTCTACGCTGCGGCGAAAATGTGCAAGTGAGCCAATCTTAAAATAAGAAAGATAGCAAGATCAAAATGGTGAATGCACAGCAGCAAAAATATAAAAAGGTATCAAAAATTGCAGGAGCGAAGCTAGTTTGAAGAGGTACGTAAGGAAAAAGGTCAAGCAAAAACTATTACGAGCAAAATGTCCAAATTGACCCGAAAATTAAAAGAAGAAACGCCATAAAGTGCATCAGCAAGGTCTACGAGATCAAAGGAGAATTTTTGTTGAAATTTAAGAGATCTAACGGCCGCATTTTCGATGACCGTCTTGATATTCGTTAGCCGTAAAAAACTTTCACCGCTCTTCAACACTTCGAGAGGTCAAAGCTGACTTTCGACTTTCCCAAAGATTTTCGCTTGTTGAAGTGTAGCCTTTGTTTGCTGCTCTTCAGACGTTCAAACGATATTCGCCTACGAGACTTTGGCCTGTCCGCGCATCAGAAGAACTTTCAACGAGTGAACGGACACTTAAACTGTAATCGGCCAGCAGCACCCTTAAGTGATCTTTTCTCCGTTATACAACTTTTTTTTTGTAGCTGTTAAAGAGCAGTTTCCACGATTAGATTTGTCTTTACTTGTTTAGACGCATTGACCATGTGTGCAATCGAGATTTCAGGTTTCTTCACTTACCCCTAAATAAGAAAGAAGGTCATTATGATTGCATAATACAAAAAAGGAAACAGGATCACGGAAGAGTCTAGAACGTTTTGTGATTAAACACAAAAAAAACAAAAAAAAAACAGATCTAGACAAGTCAGAGTTGCCGCTTCATTATTGTGGTCGCCCCAATGAGATTGACATCTGAATAATTTGTTAATATTAAACTCTAACCTTAAACAAAGCAATGACACCCGAGATGAGAGCTTTTGCGCAGGCGAGCTGGTGAATGGTCTCGGTATACTTTCGGCAATCATGCATATCAGCGTGCGAAATGTGCACCTGCAACGATCAGTTGCGGACGTATTAAAATAAGGTAATTAACGCGACACAGCTAGCACAGATCGCCTGTTTCCGTGTTTTGTCTACGTTAAGGCCCGTTCACACTCTTGCGACCTCTTAAACCTGGGTTCCTTAAAACTTCTTAAACCAGAAAACACACTGGCGCCATCTATTCGCGACTCCAGCAAAACTGACGCCACCAAGCGGGAAAACCGGGAACCAGTCGGTCCAGGTCGCTCCACGCCCCTCCGCGTCTCTGGTGGCTTTCGCGGACACGTGCTGTCGGCGCGGTGGCGAATGATGTAATTTGACGAAGGGCCGAATATTTCTTAAGTTTGCCTGAGTGTTCATTAGTGTGGTGAAACCACAGTAGAATTGTTTGCTTTCATCACGTGTTAGAAAGCCCGTTTACTCCACAACACACGGTCGCGTGCTTTCGACTTCCTGGATGGGGAGGAATCGCGGAAAAACGTTTTCATTTCTTGTCTGTCTCGAGTCGCATTCAAGGTGACGACTACTTGGTAACTGATAAGTGTTTTTTTTATAAGGATGTACTAGAAAAGTGGTCTGAGGACGACAGACGGAGGGGTTTCACTGGAGGGAACACCAATATAGCAGTCAAGCGAATGGGAAGGTTCGATAGCTGCTTTTCTTGAGTTTGGTTGTGTTCGATTAGCTTCAAGTTTGAGCCACCCACGCCAGTCGGTGCGTTGGCTATTCATCTTGGCTGCTTTTCGTCGAAGGAGCCTCTCGACCACACTGAAGGAGTTGGGCTGATTTTGCAATTACTTGATTCGGGAAACCCTACTCGTTGCATATGATTAATGAGGGAAATTATCTGCTTTCAAAAGGGGGGGGGGGGGGGGGGGGACGCGTCTCGCAAAGTTAGAAGCTGTCACGGCATTATGATCTATCGCGCTTAATATTTATATTATACCCTCGTCGAAGCCAGCAGCAATATACGTCTACATAACTCAGGTTGACCGGCCACAAAAATACTAATTTTCTCCGTTCAGGCTCCGAAGTGAAGTTCAATGCAGAGAGGTTCTGCGTGAATCTCCGATGGAGACTCTCTTCACTTTGTCCGCATTCGTCTCCGTGCTACCGGCTAGAACCATTTGGCTAAATTTAAGTAGTATCTCTCTGTCTCTCAAATATACTTTTATTGAGCAGTTCACCTAATAGCTAGTCAACTAAGCTCATATTTCAACCCGAAGAATATACTAATATCGCTTTAGTCGGACATAGTACGTCAAAATGACTTCCCGATCACAACTAAGACCTGAATTGAAATACGAGTATCAGCTGCTTAGTGGGGTGCCAGCGGGTTGACATGGTCCTTGGCTCACGAAGCGCTTGCTTAATTTTCGTAATTTTCTTGCAGCCTGTGTTGTTGACCGAGCAGACGACTGGAGCTGTTTCTTAAACGCGGATACGCACAAAAGCTCGATTTCGCGGACAGATAAGTCGTATGGTTGAGGCAAGCGAGTTATCTGAAAATTACTCTCGGTCGAACAGTTCTGAAGTAATCGCCGCTTCCCTTTAAATGATCAAAACTTATTAGAGTCTATTACCGTCTCTCCGGAGCCCATAGTTTCGGTTTTGAAGGAAATTTTTGAAACGAAAGTTTGACATGAAAAGAACAAAAAAACACAGCTATAGCTCTGCAAGCTGATGTGCACCGGCTACACTTAACCGTCTCAGTTCAAATACCTATAAATTTAGGCATTAGACAAAAGAAAATCTGTTAAATTGAATGCGCCACCCGTTCAGGCGGCCCGGCCGAGCCGACGCGACCTTGACCCAGCCGCCATGTTTGTTTGGTGGTGGTCCGGCATATTTTTTTATTTCTCGCGCATTATCCTTTCTTTCTTGGCTCGAAAAACTTTTGTCAATGTTATAAACGAGCCTTTCTATGGGTATTACGCACATTTGACCTCGGAAATCCCGCAAAAGCTTCGCTCTTGTGAAATGCAGTTCCAGGGTCACCGCATAGATGGCGCCACAATGCCAGTGTGTTCCCTCATTCTAAAAACATTTAAGAAGTTTTAAGAGATCTCGTCTCTCTCAGTCGTACTCGGTCGCAAGAGTGTGAACGGGCCTTTAGTTTCTTTTTTGTTGAACAGTTCAGAGACAATCGACGCGAATCGACGATTAGAATAATCTTATGCGGAAGGCCAATTTAGGCGACAAAATTTAGTAATAAATATTATCATTTATAAATAATATGCGAAAACGCGCCGATCAAGCTGTTTGTCATCTGTGTCGCGCAACGTAGACTGCGCGACATAGCGCGGACATGACGACGTCATTTTCTTATATTTTACTAGAACAAGGTCTTGACAAGCGCGAAATTTTACTGTTCTGGTTCAAGCCCCGCTAGTAGTTTTAATGGCAGCAATTCGCTTCCTCTCGAGAAACAGGGACAACCTTCGATGCTTGTTCGTGCTAATAACGGCACACTTCTTACAGAGCTTCACGTTAGCACAAGGATGCGGCAATGGGCATTTTTTTAAACTCTCAGAACTGAAAGACTGCCACGAAAACTACTGTTGTGGTACATGATGCTCCTCCGGGGCACCAACTTAAATGGTAAACTTCCGAGTTCTCCTTTGGCCTGCATGTGAGAAAAACATTAAGAAAATAATAGACTCCAGTGATATACCACTAAAAACGTCCCTTAACCGGAACGCATTAACATAATAATAACGAATCTAAGCAACGTGATAACGGGAGGACACGCTGTCACGTGACGATAAAGTGCAAAGTCATGGTGTAACGTGACGTGACGTGTCACACTGTCACGTAACATGTAGTGACATTACGTTACCTGACGTCACGCAACGTGCTCACGTGACTTGACGTACCCGTAGTGGCACCATTCACCTGACTCTGACTCATAGTGGCTCCAACCACGTGACCACGTGACCTATAATAGCTTGGTTCGATTTCCCTATACCTCCTGCACCGGTACAGAAACGTGTACGGGGGTGTACTTCCGGTCGGATCTTAATGCACATACCGGAAGTGAACTGCCCGGCACTTTCCTACACCAGTGCACAAAGTGTAGGTAAATCGAACGAAGCTATTGAGGCCTGCTATAGTTAGCAGGACGTTATCCCACTACACTTAGCTGATGACGGCGCGGTACGACGACCCGGCACAATTTAACGACTTCATTCAAAATTCATTCTGCATTAAAAATTGACTGCCGGTTTGGTCATTCTACCAAACGCACTTGAATGCGGTAGCTTTACGGGGTGAGTGGCGCTTTTACTTCGGGATGATAACCTAGGGCAAGATTACCCTGAGTCTTTCAGTGCCTTGGGTGGGTGGTGCTTTTAGTTCAGGTGGTGTTTGGGGCATGGTTTTGTATGAAAATTACGTACGTCACACCATTCTCTTTGTGATGCTACGTGCGGTTCGCTTCACCACCTCTCGGATAAAAAGCCTTTGCGCTGAATTTTCTGGGTCATCAAGAGAGGGGAAGCGTGTTTTCTTGCCCTTTCCACTTCTTTTTCCGCGCGATTATTCTCTGCACCACCTGTTTCTTCTGCTCCTCTCATTCTTACCCTTTCCACCGCTCTCTGCTCCGCGTGCTTTATGAAACCATCTGCTTCTGCTCCTCCCGTTCCTGCGTGCTTGGTCCGTAGCTCAATCAAAAGAAAAGAAAGAAAAGTTTCGTAGCTCAGTCAGCGGCACCCTCGGCTTACACATCGGGGACCGGTGTTCGATCTCTGGCAACGGTTGTCTTTTTTTTTCTTCTTTTTTTAGATCGTTTAGCGGTTACGGACTGACCGACCTACACATTTTCTGCTTACGTGGCTCCTGAGGTTGACTGACCCTATTAAACCTACCGCTCTAATACCGCTTCAAAATACTGCTATGTCATGCTTGCGATCTGCGTCGCGCAATGGCAAGCGTGTCGATCCTTGCAGAAAGCAAACGTGACGATCGTGGACCACCACACTGCCTCGGAGCAGTTCATGAAGCACATGGAGAACGAGAACAGGCTCCGGGGAGGCTGTCCGGGCGACTGGGTGTGGATAGTGCCGCCGCTCAGTGGCAGTCTCACGCCCGTCTTCCATCAAGAGATGCTCTACTATCACCTCAAGCCCAACTACGAGTACCAGGTCGGTACACACCTGCAGTTTTTTTTTCCTCCAGAGTACTACGTTAAACCGTAGTTCCACCGCTGACCCATCATACAAAAGATAGTCAGAAGACGCTGTCTGAGGCATACGTTTCTTTTGTCGTATATGACGGTCCTGTCGGTTTGGTCATACAAATATGGTCTGCAGACATGTTCGAAGCCTACATATGTACGTACGAAGCACACAGGTTTCGAACACTCTTAAGGTAATTCTGTCACCAGAGTGTTTTAAGGAACCGTTTTTGCACGTCCGATACGGTACGATGGGCTCTCCGGTACCAACTACCCATGTGCGAGTCTTCTGCTGTATAGCGCATGCGCAGTTCCTACCGAAGGGCCCATTTTACCGTATCGGATGTGCACAAACGGTTCCCTAACACTCTCTATCGTGTCTGCAGCGATCACCGTGTCACTCTTACGATGTGTAGACAGTACGACTCCGGCTCTAGGGAGTGCTTGTTGCAAAACAAGACTAACGCTTCTTGATTGCTTTTTCGTAGCCATATTCGACATTGGTTGAGCGTGTCCGTTATTTGTACGTACTCCGTTTCACATTAGAGGCTTTTAGGAAGCCGTTTTTGAACATCTGGTACGGTACGATGGACCGTCCGGTACGAACTGCGCTCGAGTCTTCTACGGTAGCACATGCGCAGTTTGTACCGAAAGACCCATCGTACGGTATCAAATGTGCACAAACAATTCCCTAAAACTCTCTACGAAGTCCGACCGCTGTCGACGGTATACTATACGAGGGACCCAATCAATCAGCACCAATAGTGTACCGTCACGGCGCACTCGTCGTTTTTGTGCGTTGGCTACCAGCTGACTAAACCTATCAGCTCCCCCCCCCCCCCCCCCCCACCAAAAAAAAAGCGCAACACCATGGGGACTTTATGTACGTGATTCGTTTAGCCGAGGGCAGCAAACACACACACATAGAGGCGACAATTGTGCCGTGACGTTGCAGTTTTGGTGCAGCTTGGCTGGCTCCGTCGTGTCGTACCGTCGGCTGCGGTCGAACTTGAGTGAAACAGAGTATATGCGGAGCGCAAGTTCGTCTGCTTGTTGCACAGGGGTTGCGATGAGGTCAAAATGCCGAGCTCTTGGCTGATCGAAAAAAACCTCGAGGCACTTAGCATCGAGGTCTACTCACTATCCTTTAGATCAAAGCCAATCAGAGCTCGGCGTTGTGACGTCACCGCAACCCCTGCGCAAGAAGCAGACGACTTGCTCTCCGCATAGTCTCTGGCAGGTTAAGAAACGCAGGAGTTGGCGAGTATTAAGCATCGCGTTATCGCTCTACAGCAAATAAGATTAATGCATTAGGTGATTAGAACTCCGAAGAACGATCATTGAAGCAACTGGAAGGGTGAAGCCTCGCTTTCGTTTTTTTAAACTCTCGGTATAATAAATGTGAAAGAAGAAACACCACTACATTCTTCTTTTCCTAATCAAACGTGAACTTATAATTTCACACGGACATCAAAAAGGTCAGAGCAGAATCTCGTCTGTTTCCTGATTTGAGCGAAACAAGAGGCTATGGATTTAATAACATTCTATTTTTGTAATCATTATTTTTTTAAATGAGTCGCTTATGTGGGTGATAACCTGTTTCGTTTGGCCTGTTCCGGTTCAACGTTCAAGCAATACGAACGAAAAGTTTCGCTCATCGTAACCAAATACTTATTGTAGTTTTCATAATATGCGAACATTTTAAAACTGCCCGCAAGATTCGCTAATTATTAATTCCCCAAGGCAAAAAAAAAAAAAAAAAAAATTGGTCTCGCTAGCAACGCGTAACTTTGAATTAATTAACCTTATGCTATCGCGGAGTCGTCTGGAAAACTCCGATACCCGCAGGTAGAGGCGGCTTAGATCTATTGGAACAATGCCTACTCAATATTCCCCATCCGCTAAATCTACATTTGAATGGATCTCCAATGTCCGCGAGCCTATGGATACGCTCAGCTAAAGTTGCCCAAGCCTATCGACCCAGGCGGTTTGTGGACGGTCTTAGAACGAGCCGGACACTGATAAATCTCTCCTCGCTCGGACTCTCCGTAAGTGCCTACAATATATAGAGAGAGGAACAATGCGTGCTGGAAGCCATGTTAAGTATATTATGGAATGCACTTTCATGATTATTTACTCGCTTAATCTTTGTCCTAAGTATCTCCTTAACTGCATACAATGTATAGACGGAGGAACAATGCGTGCTGGCAGCCATCTTAAGTGTATTACGGAATGCACTTGTATGATTATTTCCTCATTTTATTCTAAGTGTCACATGTACAAATATATGCAACGATATTTGGAAAAACTTGTAAGGAATGGACGCTTTCCGCTGTAATTTGCCTCTTTTATGGCTGTTGCTGGAGCCGCAGCTTTTAATGCTGGGGTGACATCTGATTCATTTATCTCTATTACTATCAAGAAACAGGACATTCAGTTACACGGGTTTCGCAAACGTTGTTTAACGTAATATTTCATCGCGGCATAATATGGGTACAAACGCTCGATTTTGGTGCTAGCCACACCGGCAGTATTCAGAAGCAACATAATGATACCTTTGGATTTTGCGAAAAAAGTCGAAGTTCTTGGTCTACATATTCGCTTTTAGCCGCGAAGTGAGCCTGCTCTCCTGCTCAAGTTACGGGTCGCAGGAAATACGTCCCTTTATTAGCACCATCCGTTGTTCAAACAATGTATAAAGGAGGGTAATAATTTGGAGCACTGCAATCAGATGTTTTACAGCGAAAGAAAAAACAATAACAAAATCAACGAGGTTTAAAAAAAAAACTGTCAATATTGTTTGTCACATCGAGAACGAAGCAGGTCTTGCGCATGATTCATCCGCTGCGGGAAGCAGTTTTTGCGATATATGGTTGTATGAGGAAAAAAAAAAACTATGCATAAGTAAAAGCTTATTTCCATTTTGAATACAATATTTGTTTTATCACATCAAGGAGAAAATTTGCAACGATCCGCGAAGAAACCAAGTTTTCTCTTTCTCTGGTTTTTGAGGTAAAACGGAAAATAGCTCCGGGTATCTGCGCCTAGAGTTTAATGACGCTTTTGAAATATGTGCCATAGATGCCGGCTTGGAAAACGCACGTGTGGCAGAAAAAGGTGGACGACCAGCGACGGTATTCCCGCAAGTTCCGCTTCAAGGATATTGCCAGGTAAGACGCAGGCCACCTGGCTGCGATGCTTTCTTATCTATCGAGTCAGAAGCACGCTGCACAACAATTGTATATTGTTTTTCCTTTCGGGCTGTCTGTTTTAAGCATGATGATGTACGAATTAATTCATAGTCGGCTAAGTTCGATTTTGAGCACCCACTCCCTCTAGTAACACGATAGCATGAGCAATATACAAACATGATCTGAGCTAGATATTTCGCCTACACACATGTTTCAGTGTCAGGTTTATTCGCAGAATAGATTTATAAATGATTATTTTGGCGTAGTCAGCGCAAGTGCTTTGTGATAGGTTCAGAACTGCTGATATACCTCAGTGAGGGTTCTCGCATTATACGCTCGCTTGCAATAGTGAACAGCTTTTGAACAATTTTTGGCCACGTGAGATATACCACCATATCAAAATAAAATAACGTAAACAAGCCGGTTTTCTTTTTTTGCCGGCATTCATTACAGGCATGTCTTTGGGATACGCGAACCCCCTCTGAGACGACCGTAGGTGTCAACAAAAGAGATGGAATCCGTATTGTGACCCGCGATTTAATGTGATTCTTGATCCTTAGACTCAAAATTGAACGTAACGTTTATTCATATTAAGGTTTTGTCTTTCATGGCTACTTTTCTAACCTATTCTACTAACTGATTCGACATGAAGAGATCATAAATAATCACTCAGCGCCTTTATGTTAGAGTGTGGTGTGTGTGCTCACGACTCAAGTCAACTGATTGGCTGTCCTATCTCAATGGCGAGTGTGGAGAGCTCCTGTGTTTAAGATGGTTCGTCGAGCGAACGTTAATTACGAAGAAACTTTTGCAGCGCCGTGAAGTTCACCTCTGCCATGTACGGCAAAGCACTGGCCAAGCGCGTCAAAGCCAAGATTTTGTACGCCACCGAGACCGGCAAGTCGGAAACCTATGCAAAGGTCCTCTGCGACATATTTCTGCACGCCTTCAATGCAACGGTAATTATAAGCCCCTGACCTTTCACACTATCCATCCCAGTCTTCTGATTTGTGAAGTCTGTTGCATGGGTGCGACGTGAGCACTGCAGGTTAAGACATATGACGTCACTTGGCCACTCATACCTCGCCCTGTTTCTAACGTCGCAGAAGCGGTGTAGAATCCGCCAAGCATAATTTTATTCTTTATTATGAATGCCCCTACATGTTGTGCGTAAATACAAAAAAAAAAATCGCTGAAATATTATTCATTTTCGTAACTTTGCGAGAATGACGCGTTCGTGTAAAGTGGCGTAGTGACGCCCTATGTTTCGCATGGAATTCGGGAGCGGAATCTCTTGTGTAGTTCCGACACTACTACATACTCCATAGGCCAACACGCGACTCCGCCGTCACGCCATATCAGTGGCGCTGCCGTTGGCACGGCGCATGTGTAGACGCATCGCTTCGTGCGAATAGGTTTCTTGCGCGTGCGCAAAAACCTGGTGTGGATATTGCGCACTGGCAATGTCTGCACCTGATGTAGCAAACGCGGGCTAGTTTGTAAACAGTGTTGGTCTGCATGTACAGTCAAATCTCACCACGGCGCAAGAGAAGCAATTTCTGATTCAACCGATCACGACTTTGAGGGGTATATCGACGTCCACTTAGCATCGAATAAAGTTCCCATAAAGGAAGGGACTATTTTTTGAATTTATAAATGCTTCCGAAGTACCCCTCATCGAGTCAACGCTAACTTCGTTTCACTCCGCTCGATGCGTTTCCCTGTACAAATGGAAAGTTATAATGTTCCGGAACTAGCTGGCATTAATAGCTCGGAAAAAGCGATAGCCACCCTCAGAAATCAGGAAGCCCTCGCTCGCACCAAGTAATTGTCCACGGAATTGCTGTCAGATAATCTAAATTTATGGTACGTGATAGGACCCAATCCAATAAATAAAGACGAAGAAGGAAATTAGCCCTAATAAATCCTACTTTCCTCGAAAACAAAGAAAAGCTCATCTTCGACTCCTTTACCTACTTCTATAGTTCTCTTCACTTTCTTCCAAGGAAAACGGAGGGGTGCATCAATTATTGCCACGACGGCTTTCGCAGCTTCAGCTGTCACATTATGTATGACCGCCGCCAAGGTTACGATCCAAGGGAACCAATCAAGGAGAGCTAAAAAAATGTATCGTAATGGAGATCGTCGTCTTTGGGAGCTTGCTATATCAACGGCTAAACCGACAACGCATATAAAATGTACCGAAATCTTGCACATTTTTCTTTTTGCTTTTGTTTGAGCGTGATTGGTCTGGCTGGTGATCGAAAAAAACACAAAGAAACGAGTGCCAAGGCGATGCACTATTTGCTCTGCTTGATTTCCTCCATTGAATTGTTGCTTTGGCTGAGGTTGGACTTAATGGGAAGCGGAGTATAGGTTAGATCTTAACATAGTTATATTTTAGAGCGCAGCTTTTAGGGGCCCGTTTCCAGCCTGGGCGGCGTCGGCGTCGGCGTAACCGGGGGGGGGGGGGGTCACGTGACCCCCCCCCCCCCCCGAGATCACGTGACCCCCCCCCCCCCCCGAGGTCACGTGACTACCCGCAGGTGACGTGACCCCCCTCAGTACCCTTCCCTACTCCTCCTCAAAAACTGCGCTCCAATTCGGCGTTACAGGGATTTGTAAACGGCTTTCATTTTTTTTATTACTAAAGCTTCTATACGATTGTGAAATATGTCAGCGAACGCTTCCGAGTTTCGGGAAAAGCTCCCCTAGCGGGGCTGTGTTGCATCACATCTTTACTCATTGATTGCTTAAGAAGCGTCAGAACTGGCAAGTCCCGGTCACCTCATTACTATTCCCCGGTGGAGCGATGATTAGACGCTCGGCTTACATTGCCTCCGGATTCCACAGCTAGTGGAACTGCGGTAGTGGCCGAAAAAATAAGGCCGAAGGACATAGCACAACCTAGAATGCGGGAACATAACGTACCACACCTCGCGTTCCGTGTGGTGTCAGTTACTAGTGGCAACGGGGAAAAGTTAGAGATGACGCAAAACGGCGCACTTATATCATTTCTCTCAGGACGTTTTTTAGAACGCTGTGAAATGTCATTCCTTGAGGACTGCCTTTCGAGGTTCAGCCGTTGATTGCGTAGTTGCCGTGCTGGCTTCCAGGTGGAGTGCATGGAAGACTACGATTTCGTCAACCTCGAGTTCGAGCCTTTGCTTCTGGTCATTTCCAGTACCTTCGGCAACGGTGAACCACCAGAAAATGGCGAGGTCAGTTCTCGGTCCATTTTGTTATCTCTAGGTGAACAATGATCGGGTTAATATAACTTTGCAGGCAGGCGTGAAGGATGGGGCCACTATCGTTTTGTACGGGTTGTACGCTGCGTGACACTGTTGGCGAGAATATGACCCATTAGAGTGGCGCGCAATTTTACCGCTCATGGTAGTGCCCCAAGAGAGTATTTGCCACTGCACCAGCTGCTTTCATGGCAGCGTTTTTGATTCTAAGTGCACGACGTAATATTCAAATGATCGCTGGTTCGCGATGATTCAGTGTCGTCTTTGTACAACACCGCGAAGGCTTGCCTGAGAAAATATTAGGAGTTGCCATAAGAACCAAGAGTTGTGTGGCGCTTTGCTGCAGCTTCGATTCGCTGTCTTATCTTGACGCGAGCCTCCAGCAGCGTGGTGCGAATGGGGGGCCTTCCCCCTCCCCTTTATTGTTGTTTCTATTTCTCACTCAATCACTAGGTCTTTGCTCGAAACCTGCAAGTCATGAAAAGCTGCAGTCCCTTTGGTCCCGAGGGCACGACACCGAGGTCAGTGTGTGCTTGCTCACTCTTGCCTCTTCGGTAGCCCTCGCCATTCCTTTCTCGCGCTGTATGGCGTCCTGCTGCTGCTTTTAAGTTTTTTTTTTAGAAACCAGCTGCGATAAAAACAATTGGTACGCAGTATAGTTACTGACGCTCTAAGAAACGCAGAGCATGGCGCCTCCCCAGCATCCTATCATCACTCCACAGCCAGTAAGATCGTTACGTCAGCCTACAAAAAAATCCAAGGCGCCAATCAGAAAGCAATACGTGGGAAGGTAATAAGCCACACCCTGCGGTTCTTAATTAAGCTGTCCGCGATAATAAATCACCGGCATACACGAGAATAACGTTGCCAAACTGCACGATTTAATGACACTAAGCGGGTATACACTCTAAGAATTCTTGAGCGTTCGCTCTCCCGCGAGGCACTTGGGCGAGTCAATGGCTGCAATGTGCGGAGGGCGCTCGGCGAATGACGAAGTTGATACTGGCGTGCGTGCATGGCCGAGAGGGAACGGTTCTCCGTATATCTAGAAGATTCGTGCATATGCTCTTGCCCCAAGTGTAATAGATGAGAAGGCCAACATCACCATGCCGAGTCACTGCTCCCTGGAGTATTCGACACTCGAACATTCTAACCCGAATACTCGAGAAACCGAGTATAGTAGATAAGGAGCCCTGAGTGGCCTTGCCTTGCTGACTGAATCTCGCAGACTCGCTCAGCCAGCTGTCACGCCGACGCCGCAACGTTCGCTCCTGCCGCTTTCGATGCTCGTTGATGTTTTGTTGTGCTTTGTTTTTTGGCAGAATCTCGCCGATCACAACTTTATTTTTAATTTTTTGCATCCGCGACAATATGTTTAAGCCTAAAAAAACGGTCGCCGCTGTAACTGCCACAAAACAAATTTTTTTATTTATTTTTTTTTTTGGGGGGGGGGGGGGGGGGCGTGAAACGTATGATTAGCACCGTCATTCACAAAATGCCATTCGTAAATTGCCGCGATTGGGTCTCCCGAGTGCTTGGCTGAAGAGCAGACGCTTCAGGTTCCTTAAAATGTATTACTACGTTTTTTTCCTGTTTTTGTTTTTCTACTCATTTGGGTTGCGTAGCAATGCTAATATACCGGCGCAGCACGACAGTTGGCCCGCGAATGAAATAACGGTTTTTCGGAGCAACCCTGGGGTGTCTAGTCTTCCTGTCCAAACTGTACCCTATGGTCACCGACGCCTTAAGAAATCCGAGGCGTGGCAAGCCCCGAGAATGCTAACGCTCCTCAGTTGACGAGATCGCGGCACGAGCCGATAAGAACGTTGATGAACGAGATCTCAAGCAAGAAGCGGGAACACGAGAAGTCATGGCCTGTGTTGCTTACACTGTCAGTGTTTATACCTGGCCGCATTGCGGCTTTCTTGAACCTTAAAGTATACGTTCTTGGGATTGTACTGTGGTTTTTTTTTTCCCCAGAGAAACGCGTAGGTTTGACAAAAAACAAAACAAAAACTACGTTCGCACAGGTTCACTAATAAGGCACGTGACCAGCGTTTGGTACATATCGCGGGTGATGTCTGGCCCCGCCATAATGAGCGGATTTCGTTAACTCTGCTAATGTAATTTGTGTACTTTTTCTACATACAAAACTGTTGTCCGACGTCACCAACACAAGCTGCAGGACAACGCCATGTCTTTTTTTTTTTGTGTTTTCTTGTTGGAATTCGGTTTTTGTGACCCGTCGATACATCTTTGCGCTTCGGTTGAATTTGTTTGGTTAGCTAGAGTACATATCACTCCCTGTAGTTTATCCACAAAAATATTAAAACTATAATCAACTCTCGTTTTCGCGGCTTTTCTACACGGTGTTCAGCAGGCGTGCGATACGGAAAGAGTCTTACAATGAGCAAGCAATACGCTTGGAAATCATCAGATTTGCATTTCGTGTCAAACAATAAGATGCTTGTAGCGTAAACCTGATGTGGAGCCATGGAGTCAAAGGATATTAATCATCATTACCAAAATATTAAGCACTTTATGAACAGGTCACTGTCGTATTTAATTTTGGAATTAACGAATGCGGGGCATGCACTCTTGACGTGCATCTGATTTAATATTAACTTTTATTTGCTGCAGCTGCTGAGTTCATGCCCTTGTCCCTCAGTTGACCCAGCTTTCTCTAGAGATGACTGTGATTTGATATGCAGCAAAAAACACGATGAACCTTTATAGAGTAAACATGAAACCATACGAGTTTGCAAGTGCAGAAATAAACTGTGTATTTACAGGGAGTATTTTTTAAGCTTTACATATTTGTTTGAAAAAAAGCCGTGAAAGCAACACTTATGCGGTTTGTGCAGGTGAGTTATACGGCAAGGCTAATTAAATAAAAATTGGTAATTAACTTTTTAATTAGTTAAATAGACACATGGTCCTATTTAGAAACTAGCTGAGCGTCATCGAAAAACACAAAAACTACGCATAAAAAGAAAAAAAAAACATAAGGCGGGTGCAGAATTTTATAGCGTTCTGAAAAACGCTCCATTTGGACGCGTTTCTAGGTTTCGGTTTCATATCGGAGCGCATCTTTACGCCCGCGGTCCTGCTCCCTGGTGATCGCGGCGCGAAACCACCGCCTTGCCTGTTCGAAGGATGTGTTGCGCATCTCGGCCACTGGAAAGGAGGACCGCGAGCGCAAAGATGCGCTCTAATAAAAAATAAAAAAAAGAAACCTAAAAACGCATTGAAATTGAGTGTCCTGACGAAACGCTGTAAAATTCCATCCCTACTTTATACCTTCTTAAAAACAATTGATTCAATGTTTTTCGACGACGCTTAGGAAGTTTCTGATTGGAACGATATGTCTATTTTCACTAATTAAAAAGTTAATTAAGAACTTTTGCTTAATTGCCCGACTGATCGTTACAATTAGCCTCCTATACTGTGTCCCCTGGCCGTATGACGCACCTGCACAAAGCGCATGAGTGTAGCTTTCACGGTTCTTTGAATACAAAGCTTAAAAAGACACCCTCTATAACATTTCGCTATAATCTTTCTTCATACAAAATTTTATTGAAGTACAGGAAGTCCATTTTAGGACAAATAAGATCTCGTGATATTGACTTAAGTGTTGTTGATTTTCGATACGGGTATATGTTTTTCACCAACGGGAGGCTGAACGTTCTTGTTTACCGAGGTTTGAGTCAAAACCGACGAATAGAGCTGAAAAACAAAGCACAGAGTCTAACTGGAAATATTGATTTTAGCCGAATTAGAAAAAAACGAAACAAAACGAAAAACGAAATTTCTTGTTGTTTTACGCTTCTTTAGAGATAAAGTTGTCTGTCACCTACACAAATGCTTCAGGTGTAGACACGTTTTGAATTTTGTTGAAGGCATGCTTGCCGCACACGGCTACCCGCCCTCGAATGCAGTAGAAGCACGTCTGGCGCTGGGAAGTTGCACGTCGCTGTTATGCACGGATTTGCACCGCAATGCACGACCGATATCCGAACCTGCTATGAACGCACTGCACGTTCTAGATAACGTGTCCCACTTTCGTGTGTTTTCCACCCGGTAGTCCGTAGATCTTTTGTAGTTGACTCTGTGGTGTCTGTTTTTTTGTTTCAGATCGTACGTTAGGTAAGGATGTCTTTGATTTTTTTGTACGTTTTTCCTCCACCCGTGCCCGTATCGCCGTTGTGCCTGTTTTCACCCATGTGCTTCGTCCACGTAGTGTAGTAGCCCTCTGGATTGCGTTACGAAGCCCGTGGCATAAAACCCACGAAATGCACCTAGATCTTGTAGCCCCTACACTCTTAGGAATAGAGAGTATAGGGGTACACCCCTTGTCCAACATGTAACACCCCAAAACAACATTTGGTCGTTCAGTCCACTGGCGTTGAGCTGGCGATACCAACTTTTGCGAGCGTCTTGATAGCTGTTTAATATAACGTACTTAATAGCTAATGTGAGTATCAAAGACTTGGAAAAATCACATAAAAAAAAACACTGACGTTTTGGAGCAGGGCCAAAAAAACATTCATTGTCTTACTTTAGGTTTTAATGAGTACATTACCTAATTTAATAAGTTATATCGGTCGACTATCAAGACGCTCTTGAAGGTTGGTATCGCCGATTCGACGTCTCTGGACTGAACGTCGAATCCTTGTTTTGGGGTGTTACATAAGGTACAAGGGCTGTTCCCTTATACGCCCCCTATTTCTTAGAGTGTATAAAGACACCCTTGCGTCTACTTTTCGGCAGAGCACTCGTAGCACTCATCACTATGATATACAGAGAGTTTTTTTATTATTATTTGTTTTGCGGATTGCATCCCAAAGGGGGCAGTATGATGATAATGACGCGTATGAAGATGCCGGAAAAAAAAAAAACGTTTCGACGCAAGAGTGGTGTCCGCGATGTGACATTGAGCATGGACATGAACGTGTGAAACGCTATGCTCGGTGTCAAATTGCACACCCAACCTTTCTGTTCAAGCGTCTTTTATTCCCCGGTCCTTCGCCGAGTGACTCTCAAACTGCTCTGTAGGTAAGCAGATATAGATGGATGTGTAGGTGTTACGGTTGGAAGCAGCACGGTTCTTGAACTGGCTAGTATAGGAGTTATTTTCGGTGGTGCACTATTGTCAAAATCAGTTGAAGATGAGAAGGTGACTCATCTCATTACGGCGGCGCTTCAGACTGTTTTGTTTTAGTAATATTGAAATGGGACAGGCTCTTGAAAAGAAGAAGATTACCAGGGTTGCTGCGCCCTGTCAGTCTTGCCATACAAAAAACATAAAAATACAAAACCGTCAAAGGACACTGTCATATTTAGCCTCACTGTGTCACTATTTATGTATTTATTTATTTAGAGTGTCTTTAGGGGCCAACGGCATTACAGAAGAGACTCGGCCAAAAATGAGTAGTAATAATACGCACAAAATACGCCAGGCGAATTAACCGTACGCAAAAAATAAAACACACACACACGAGAAAACAAGAATAAATAATAA